CGGGCGCAGCTGGACGGTGAGTTTCTCCTCACATTTCACTCTTTTTTTCTTTTTTTTTTTTTCAAACTTTGTTTATTTGGTTGTTTTTTTTTTTACCAACATATTTTTATTGAGTTTTTACACTTTGGAAATACAAGCATGTAGTTATTTGAACAGGTTCTCTTCGTGGTCATTACATGACAGTAATTATTTTACTCAACCCAGAGAGACAAAAAAATAATAAAAAAAATAATTATGATAATAATAATAAGAAAAAGTACAAAACAAAACAAAAAAACACAGCTTCTCAAAAACTGGGGTATTCCCACAGATTACAAATTGGTCAGATATAATTATACACATAACAATAATAATCAATAATAATACACATCTATACAACATGGCACACCACAGGTTCTGGCAAATCAGAACTCAAAGTCTAAGTCCTTAATAAAATTAATGAAAGGCCCCCAAATCCCCTTGAAAAGATACCGTTTAGATTTCCTAATATATGTTATTCTTTCTAGCGGCAAATTAGACGACATCTGTTTTAACCACTGCCTGACACTAAGTCTACTGATATTTTTCCAAGTCAAAGCAATCCATTTTTTTGCAGCCAATGAGCTTATATCTATGAAAGTGCGTTCTGTTTATTTGGTTTTTAACAATAATTGCGTAGCCATACATTTACAATGTGATGCATATAAAACAAACCATAGAAATTCCCTTGGGTTATAAAAACAAAACAAAAAACACAACAAAACGACCGCCAATCACTCCCGGGCAATAAGAAAAAGTCATAAGAAAAAGGACACACGCACACAAAAAAGTTTTGAAATAGATAAAAAATTAAGATGCATTCTGCTACACCCAAAAAATTTAAAAATAAATAAAAATAAAAATAAAAAAAATAGTTAAATAAAAAGTACAGTTTGTGCCCAGGAAAGCAAATACGGAACCATAAGAAAAGGAAAATCCGAGAAAAAGGACACAGGATGAGCAAAAAAAAAAAAATATATATATATATATATATATATATATACACGAAGGACTAGACCTGGACAGAATGAAAATTAACTTGACCAACCAATCGTCGTAATGGCTGCCAGATTTCTGCAAATTTGTCAGAAGAACCCTGTAGTGACATCCTAATTTTTTCAAGTTTAAGAAAATAAACAATATCCCTCAACCATAGTATGAAAGAAGGAGGTTGTGGTGATTTCCGTTTAAGAAGAATTATCCTCCTTGCAATAATGGTCATAAAGGACAAAGAATTTTCTTGGGAAGAGGCACATTTCACTCTTTTTTTTACCAGAAAAACGACCCAAAACCTGTCAGAATCACGCCACAAAATCAAAGCTGATCTGCTCTGAGATATGAAGCATGGAGGAAGTAGTGGGAATGTTTTTGTGGTTGTCAGATGCTTATCTTTAGTTTCATCAAGATTCCTGACAGATTACTATTCATTTGAGGTTTCAAAAGGAAACAAAAGAGAGTTTATCTGGTTATTGACACAGATTCATGTGTCCTTAATGATCAGGCTGTTGCCATAACCCTTTAAAGCCTGATACAAAAAAAAGTTTAATAGTTTTTTTATATTCATCATTTATTACTGTTTAATAAGTCAAAATTATTGTCTACAGTCTGCTGTTATCAGGTTTATCTGACTATTTACATAATGATTTAGATGTTTTTACTATTAAATGATGCACAACATTTTAGAAACCACATCAGATATTTTCATTTTTATATATATCTTTGTGTCATTTTATCATTATCATATATTGTCATTGTGTATTATTGACATACATTATTGTATTATTTTGCATTATATTTCTATTCTATTATTTATTATTCATGTGGCATCGTGGAGAAATTCATGCCAGAGGCATTAACTTTGTTTATGTTTAGAGTCAAACTTCCTGTTGTTCACCTGTTTATTGACAGATAAGATCAGACAAATCAGTGTTATTTGTTTTGCGTTTGGAGGCAAAAAGCAGAAAGTGTGAGTTGTTTCCGCTCAGGTTCTGATCAGAGGCTCATAGATGGATGGAAAACAACTGAATTCTGGAGGAAAACCAGCAGAACTCTGGTTCTCTGGACTCAGATGTTGGTGTTTATCCAGAAAAAACACATTAATTGGAGCTGGAACGTCTATATCTTGTGAAAATAGACCTTAGAAGAGTCTGAAAATCTTTTTTTATCAGCCATGGAACAAATTTGGGGGAATTTTAATGATGTTTAGGAGAAAATCAAAGCTGATTTAGGAGGAAAAAGGCAGAAAATCATAGTTTTTTGGACTCAGATGTTGGAGTTTATCCAGAAAAAGCTCCTTAAATGGAGCGTTTGGGTCCTTTTAGATGGAAGAACTCATCAGAAACAGGAGCTTAAAGCTTTAACTGGAGCTGAACGTCTGTTTGGGGGTTCAACAATGCAAACAGCTTCAGAAGAGACTGGAAACCTGTTTCAGGTTCAGAGGAGAAGCTTTTTGGCTTTTTCTGCAGCTCTGGAATAAAGTTAGAGGACTTTCAGAGTCTTTAGGATAAAACCAGAGCTGCTTCTGGAGTTTTTATGCTTTATTTGAAAGTTTTTCTGCTTTATTTGAGTGTTTTTCTGTTTTATTTGAGAGTTTTTCTGCTTTATTTTAGTGTTTTTCTGCAGCTCTGGAATAAAGTTAGAGGACTTTCAGAGTCTTTAGGAGA